ACCTTAGTGATTCTCTGATTCTGTGGTCTATGAAATAGTTTATGCTTGGGAAAATAAGGTTACCTTTAGGCTAGTTCTTGGAGTATAGCAAAGGAGGAGTAAAAATTAAATCCAGTACATGTTTTTTCGTTTGTTTGGGTTTTTTAAGGTTTTCAAGTCACATTTGGCTTTTGATAAAGCAATCAAATAGTGTGTCTTTAGAATTGACATTCCCTTTCTAGTCTTCAAAGAAAATTAGCCATTTACCTTAGAGAATGGCTTGTTTCAATACGTTAAGATCAGCAGCTAGGATTTCTTTAGGAGTCCAATGAGTTTATATCCTCCATTAACTTTAAAAATTGCTGCAATCAAGATTATTCTTTCCGCTGTCTCTTTTTCTGTACTTGGCTTCCATCCACTAGACGCTTGTGTTAAGCACGTGTCCCTCCAAGACTACACCTCTGTCAGAAGGATTTTCCTTTAAACTGGCTTCGCACCTGACCCCAACAGCGTACCAGGCCCAGGATACTTATCTGCGCAGAGCAGTTCGTCTCTCAGGGATGCGGCAGACTTGAAGTGGGTGAAAAAGTCTGTCACTTCTGAGGCTGCAGCTACCAAAATGCAGGATTGGACCCTGAAATTTTCTGTCTGATTTCCCTCCTTTTTTTTCCCAGGAATAGACTTGTTTTTCCTTGGGAAGCAAGGGGTATCAGAGGAGGAAAGCTCCAACTGCCTGAACAGTCTCTATTAGCCGTCATAACCATGAGACCAGTGTGGCTAAGGCCTGCACTAGCCCCTCTTAAGTAAACAGCCATATAAAGAATAATTTCTGTGGGAAGGAGGTCAGCTCTGCTTTCATTGCATTTCCTTGTAGCTAAATGTGAAATAATTACAATAATAGAAACCTAAAGAAAAAAAAAAAAAAGCTAAGGAGTTTTTATAGTTTCTTTGCACTGTAAATTATAATCAGATGCAAAGGATGAAAACAGTGATTCCTGAGAGTAAGGAAGAACGTGGCTGGAGGCTGGAAAGATGACATACTGTAAATTCCTCTGCCCTGTGATTTATTACAAAGCCATCCACTGACTTCCTAATTAAGGCCATACTGTGCTGAGCTGTCTAGCAGCACGTAATGAAGGACTTGCCATGTCCTGAAAGGTGCAGCTGAGACGCCCTACCCTGCACACGCGCCTGCGCCTCGTGCAGCGGCGACGGCTTGCACGGGATGAAGCTTCAGTGACGGCAGCATTGTTGCCCGTGTAGTCCAGGGTGCCGGGAGGAGCATGGTGAGACCCCAGGACCTCCAGCCACACTGACTGCATGTCCATGCTGGGTTCAGCTGGGTTGTGGGTGTAAGGAGTCTTCCCCAAAGCTTGCTGGAATTGATGGCAAATCCCAGTGAGATCTTCCCATTGTTTTCAGTGAGTATTGGCTTCAGCCCAGAGTGACTCATCTGATATTTATTGGGTCAGGCTGGGAATGAGTACATAACAACAAGTAGATGGCATAAACAAAAGGAAAGAGAAGGGAGACACAGGGATGAAAAGCGTTGAGTGTCTGACCCGGAGGCCACTGACATCAGCAGGGAGCTCTGGAGGTGAGCTTATGTTAAAGCTCTGGAAATGTTCCACTGATTCCCATTTTCAGACTGTCTTTACTGTAATTAAGCTAAGCAGTCATTGGGGAGGAAGAAACATTAAACTTGCTGTGATGTTATTTGAGTAAATAAAAAATGGAAACCAAAGATGAAACAGAAACTGAACCAGAATGATTGTACTGCTTTCTAAGTTTTCTAAGCCTCACTTTTTCTTGCTAAACTGCTTAAGCAAGCACTGTCTCACTCCAAGTGGCTATCATTACCCTGAACTAACATTCAAGGAGCCTAAGGCACAGGGGGAGAAAGAAGGTGTTGTAGGCTGTGTAAATTTGTTGCAGGACTGGACACATTACTCTTGTTTCCTTTTTCTTAATAGCTACACCATGTATTTTTGTAGTCAGTTGGACACCATAATGAAGAGACTCACCTTCCTTTTCAAACTGGTGATATTATTTGCCTAATAATACTGTCACATTCAGTTTGAATCCTGAGTAATACAAATTAAAAGAATGTAAACTGTGGGTAACATTAGAGGTCACAGTGTTTGGCTTTCCAGGGCGTGTGGGTCACAGGTGTACCTGAGAACAGCTCTCAGAGCTGGCACAGACAGAAATCTACAGTAAGAAAACATTTCTCTAAAGAAGCACTGGAATTCAAAACCGCATTTCCATCCACTTGGGCTGGAAAGCTCTCTTAGAATGAGATAAACGATAACAAAATGTCTTGTGGAGGGCAGGCAGGGGGGACCATTGCACCAGGTATAATGGTGTCATGACATAATATACTGGTTATTTAAGATACTTAGTACTGTGGTTGTGAAATATTGATCCAACCATAAAACTAGGAGATTAGAAATGCTGGAATGCTATTAACTGCACTCCTTTTTTTTATTTATTCTGCCTACATTTCATAAGCAAGCTGTACAGGCAGGACCTAGGTCCTGATTGAAAAGTTGTACCTTAGGATCTCTTTATATGACCAGGCTCTGTACTGTTTGGCTGTTAATGCCAAAGGAACAAAAAAAGTTCTGTGAGACATAAAAATTATTCACAACAAGGGTAGTTGGCTTTGGTTCCCCCTTTTTTTGTTTGGTTTTTTTTGGGTTTTTGGTTGGGTTGGGTTTTTTGGGTTGGTTTTTTTGAGAAGAAGCAAATCTGTATTTAAGGAAGGATAAGATGTGTGTGATCCTCACAAAGCAGGAAAAAAATACAGCTGCACCAGTTTAAACTAGCTGAGCGTGCAATTAATTTAGTTTTGGTGATGCAGGAAGTATTTTATCCACCTCTCCTTCCTGAAATGATGCCTGTTAATACAGAATAAAGCAGTGAATAAAAAAATCACCCCACATGGTTCTTAAACCAAATGTGCCTTGCTCCCACTAAGACCTGAGAAGGTGCTATTTGAGTTAGCTGTCTGCCCTGTTAAAAGCTCCGTTTCGCATCTGCTCTGCCGTGTTCTGTGCTTCCTGTGCTTCCTGCTCCCAGAGCTAAGCAGGTAACAAACGGAGTAGCATGCAACAACGCACTTGGCGCATCCTTCCTTCATCCTCAAAGGCTGTTGAAAATGCCTGTTGTGGCTTGCTGATCCCTTGAGGTAAAGCGTTATTGCTCCGGACTGTTTTCCCAATATGCACTGCTATAAAACAGAGCACTTGAGGGCCTTGACCGATTTTCTGAGTGCTCTGGTAACTAGTAGCAATTTCCATGTGGTGTTTTGCTCGGTACCCCCCACCCCAGGTGTCTGTGCTCTCTGGTAACTTCTACCATCATTTGCAGTTCTGCTTTTACCCTCATACTTCTTGTCTCCTATATTTTCCTGTTATTTCTGACACCGAGTTATCTTATATTTCTGGGGAGATATATTTCTCAAAAATACTTCCAAAATGTAGCCAGAACTTGTGCTTTATAATCTAACAAAACTTTTTATATTTCTCCCCAGCCTTAAATCTCTTTTTAACCTCTTTCTGTTTCTAAAATAACTTCTCATTTTGCTCTCCTCTCTGCAAATTTCCGCTGAATATGAGCACCATCTTAGCCTGAGTGTTTCTCTCTTCATGTTCAGATTTTGACATAGCACTTCCAAAGGGTCTCGTTTTTCTACAAAGATCAGTTCTTGTCTCACTCAGGGCTTCATTTTGCTACCCCAGTTCTTCAGAAAGTTGTCATCACTCTCTAAATGGAAGGGGAGAGTTTCTGGCAGGCTGCATGTCCTAGCCAACTTCATGCTTCATCCTGATTTATTTTCTTGGTAAATTTCAAAAGGCAGCATATTATCCTAGCGGACAAGTGGGATTCCCAAGAGGTCTGAGGTCAGAAGTAGTTAGATGTATCTGTCTTAATGATACAACTTAGAACACATTGCATTAAGCGACTTAGTTTTTAATTTTCCTTAAATTAGTTTTCTCTTAATTTTTAAAAAAGACAAAAAGACAATAACCTGTCTTGATGCTTGAAAACCTAGGGTTTTTGCTTCTGGCACGCTCACAACTTTTAGAAAGAGTTGGAATGTCTTGTGTCTTCAAAGACGGTCATAAATCTTTGTCACGGAGAGGGAGACATGAGAGACATCGGAAATTATTTTTTTGGCTCTCTTCTTTGCAGAATTGTTATTTTCTGAAGAGCTATCCCTGGATAATTCATTTATTAGCATGATAGTTTTATTGTTTTTTAATATATTGTTTTATTCTTAAATGAGACAGAGGGAAGCCACCTGGAGTACTTGTTTCTTGGCTGACAGGGCTGGCTGCAGCAGTACAGTTCTGTGCAGACAAGGGGATGCAGAGAAAGTCCAAATGGTTTGTTTGATCCTCATTTTTATGTTGCTCTAGTTTTGGCTGCCCTTGTGATTGCCCGCAAGAAAGATGGCCACAACATCACTGCGTTTTTTAAGACCGTCTCACTTTGTTTACAGAGCTCTTCAGTCAGAAGGTTACTGTAGGTGTCTGCTCCAGCTGTTGCTCTGTTCTTTCCCACTCGCTGCATTTACACTCACAATGTCCTTTTCTTTATAGCTGTACCATTCCCCCAGACTGGGACCATGAGGAGGTCATTTGCCACTAGAGTTGCTTTTATGGGTTGAAGGTTCAAAGGGTGTTTCATCCCGTTCATACACACAACTGCAGCTTGGAAAAAGGGCAGGAAAAAGGGCACTCCTTCCTCCTTTCTTCTGTCGTGCAGACGGATGTCCTCTGAGATTGTGCACAAGATGCAGCCCACGTTTCGGCTCTGCAGTCAGAGCGTCTGCTGTTTCCTCAGAGCGCTTGCATGACTTGAGCACGCTAAGGCTGTCGTGACTTGCAGTGTGTAGAGGGGCAAGGAGGAACAGCTTTCATCCTCCAACACAGGCTCTGTTTTCCGGCAGACTGGCCTGCTGGACCCAAAGCCAGCTCTCTGCCAGCCTTTCTGTCCTGCATGAGCTGGTGCAAGGCCTCTTCCTGAGTTCTGAATGTGCACCAAGGGATGAGGTGTGATTTCTGTCTAGAAATCGGGCAGTCTGATTCCTCTACAAGGCGATGCTCTCTGTCGCCTGTACGATAAAACGAGGCTTCAGGCAAGTAGAGACAGTTGCCCAGGCGGAACCCAAAGCAGGCTTTCTGCCATCTGTGTGCACCTGAATTCCTGCCACTTGCTGCAAGTTTGCAACCCCATCGTCTATTGACATTTCCAAGCTTTGCCTGTCACTTTTTCAGCAAACTTCATCTGGATTTCAGGTTGCCCGTAAAACTTGAAAGCAGGTTTAGTAGCAGGAATTTACAATGTGAACATCTAGTTAGAAGAGACCTTACAGGGCCCCTTTAAAGGAGAACCTTGCCTTTAAAAATGAGTAAATAAGAGCCTCTACCTCTTTTCCTCACGAAACTTCATTGAAAATACGAACGCCAGTAAATCAGCGGCTGAGAAAAATGGTAACATACAGCTGGGCTGCACTCCTGCGTAACAGTGACACTGGAAAAATCACACACATTTCCCTTTCCCTTCTGTGTAAAGTGACCTTGTAAAATTTAAGCTGTACCCTCCCTAAAATGCTTTTTAGTCCTACAGAATCCTGGGCAAGGTTCAGTCTATGGAAGCGCAAATGTCCAAACAGAAGAAACAGGTCAAATGTCAAAACAGGCTTAAAAATAATGAAGACAATACTCCATTGCACCCAGCCCTGTTTTTCCGTGCTCCAATGTGAAAAGATAAACCCTGCTTTTTAAAATGTTCATCTTATACATGAAAATACTTTTAAAACCATCCTGCAAAACTGTGCTTATGTAGAGGACCTGGCACCAACATTCACTTGTCTAATGTATGTTGGCAGTGTTCCTTTACAAATATTGTGATAACCAGAGGGAGAAGTCCTGTCTTGTTTATTTCTATTTTTGGTGTGGTGTTTTTTGTTTGTTTGGTTTGTTTGTTTGTTTTTCCTTTACTGAATGACCAAATGACATTTAGATTTTGCAAGGGAACTTCCATTGATTTCAGGGCATAAATTCATGCTGTATTTGCCAGGCCATTACCCTCAACACAGTGAGAGTGTTTTGCTTGTATTGTAATACTCCTTAAAGTAAGAAAGTTGAAAGAAGTACTTACTGTACAGCGGGCATTGCTAGATGAGGCATCTGATTGTTTCTCTCGTTACTTAATTACAGCTCTCCCTCTCTCTGGTGAGATGCAAAGGGGTTTTCTATTTTTTTTCTTAATTACAGAGCAGGCCACAGGTCAAAAGGTGAAGGTTATACAAGCTGATTTCACTAAAAATTCAGTATACAAGAACATTGAAGAAAGTCTGCAAGGCTTGGATATTGGTGTTCTGGGTGAGTCATTAACATCTGTTAATTAAAGGGCATTTTATGAGTGCAGTGCATTAAACAGAGAATTGTATAAATGACGTGTCATAACAACTTGTTAGCCAGCACTTAAAACCAAGCATGCAGCTGCCTAACGCATTAGAGCATTACTTATCATGGAGTTTTAAAAGTGAATTAAGATTCTCCAAAAGCTTCCTGTTTCTCTGTACAGTAGATTGTTTCCTGTGAAACCTCTTCTGCTGCCTTACAAGCAGCATCCAGGTTGTGGGATGACTTCTTCCCTGTTTGTCCTCAAGGAAGTGATGTTCACTATTGGGCTGTTGTGCAGCTGCGTGCAAATCCTTGCGTTCAGTCTGAAGATGAGCCTGTGGCTAACAGTGATTGGTATGATCCACACAGCAACAATGAAAATACGGTTTTTGGGGAAGTCTTACTGGGTTTTTTAATTATTATTTTTTAATTTAAAAAAATAATCTTTTTAATAGTGAAACAAATTTAAAAAACAACAACAAAACACAAACAAGCAAAACCCCAAAGTGTAGCACAGACACTTTTTCTGTTCCCTGAAGCCAGCACTGATGGGTGCCGATGACTTCTGTGAGAACAAGGCTCGATGCTGAACTGCATTTCTCTTCACATACAGCTCAAAAGCTTCTGGGTCATGAGGAGAAGTCGTTTGTTTGACCAGCTGAACTATGCGCTTTGTCTAGGTTTGGTTCTTACCGTTTTATTTCCTTTGATTAGTTAACAATGTTGGAATGCTTCATAATCCTCTTCCTTGCCGTTTCCTTAATGGACCAGACATAGATGAGGTAGGATTACGCTGTGGGTTTCTATTTCCAATATAACAATGAGGAACTGTAATTCTATTTAACAAGGGGCAGATTCTGCCCCTGCTACAACCAGCACGTATTTAACAGTTCAGTTGGGTGGGAAAAGAACTGAGCCTGAAGGAGCATATTTCAATTTGTTCTTCCTGTTCAGAAGAGCTTGCAATATAGAACAGCAGATTTCAGCTGAACTGCAGCAGGCACCCGGTGATAGAGGGGAGAGGGCAGCTGGCTGCGTTGTAGCAGGGGTCAGCAGCCCCTCTGGCTCACTGCTCACCTGTGATGCAGTGGGTTCCAGCCCCATTACAGCCACAGCTGAAGTCTCGGGTTCTCGTTAGTATTATTAAAATTTAGGGTTTTTTGGAACACTGTTGCTTAAGCAGGTGAAGAAATGAAAAAATAGACCTCATTTAAACACAGTTTACTTTTGGGGGGAATTAAATTTACACATCTGGAGTAGTTTCACAGGGTTAAGGATGCTATCATGTTTTTCATTGCCTTGTTATTTACCTCTGTAGTGTTAGCCATGAAAAAACCAGAATCTGTAAGTGTATTTCTTGCTAGCGCCTCTCTCAGGATCCATTCAGTCTATATATCCTCTTCTATTTCAAATCAGAGATCCCCAAGTGGGCTGCTTCCCTAAGAGCTGCAGCTGTACGATGGCATCTTTGCTGCTGCCTCGGCTTGTGTTAGCCTGCTGCTCCGGGGAAGGTACCTCTGTGTGGCAGGGCTTTCACTGCACAGTCAGTTTGCCTGTGTCCATGGGAGCCACCCCGCCTCCGCCTGGCACCTCTGTGGTTCCCATGTGCATCCCGCTTGGCTTGCTGGTGTCATCAGGTTTTGCCACCTACAGCGTCGTGGCTGGGCAAAACAGAGGGCATGGAATCTGAGGGATGCAAAGCACGTTTAAACTCCATGCTGAACATAAAACGGGTCAGGACTTAGCGGCCTTTGAGTCTCCCACGCCGTAGGCACAGCTAGTGACAGTCCGGGGCAAGCTAAGCAGCTCTTGAAGCAGTTGCCTTGCTAGGAGGCTTTTCAGTTGGAATTGTGAGGGTTAGGTAGCCTTTGTTGCCTAGGCAAGGTACAAACTCTCTGGAGTTAACTGTGAACCGCCTGCTCTCTTGCTTCCTGCAGAGCCTTGTCAACTGCAACATGATTTCGGTTATAAAGGTATGTGATGCTGCATCTGTGTTACCTCTGTAATGTATTTTATTGGAAAAAAATCAGCCCCTGACAAGACTGACCAACTAGCTTTCCTGTGCGTTTTCATGTAATTTATCAGCAGATAATAATTTAAGGAATATCAGCGATATTTTAAGGACCCCCATCTGTTTCTACTGCCTATGGAATGTCTTGACCAGAGCTGACTGGAAACGTTTTTACCACGGTTGTTTGGTTAAGACACATCGTTATGCTGCAGCTGAAACATTTCGCAACAAACATCCCCGTTTTGGTAAACAGGGAGATTTGTTTCAGAAGCAAAATCTTTGAGACAGGAAGATGTGCAGTTTGACTTCTTGTACCCCATCTGTTTCTACTGCCTATGGAATGTCTTGACCAGAGCTGACTGGAAACGTTTTTACCACGGTTGTTTGGTTAAGACACATCGTTATGCTGCAGCTGAAACATTTCGCAACAAACATCCCCGTTTTGGTAAACAGGGAGATTTGTTTCAGAAGCAAAATCTTTGAGACAGGAAGATGTGCAGTTTGACTTCTTGTACTGTACCTGAGCTTTTTGTTGCAAATCTGTTCTGCACATTTGCAACAAAAGATAATTCAAAAATATCTTTGTATCAGCGTAGGACAGAAACTTAAGGAGCTGACTCCCAGTTCTGTGTTGTTACCTCTTGGTGCTAAATTTGGTTGGCTCCTTCCCTTACAAGAACAGTATTTCATGCTTTCCACCTCTGATTAAGATTTGTATTGCTCTGCTGTTTGCAAGCAGCAGGTCAGCATGGACGAGAGCAGAACACGAGCTTTGTAGTCCATCTCAGCCCTGGCTAGTGTCTTTCTAAACATGACGTGGAGAGAATCAACAGATGTTTGTCTTTCTTTGGCTAGCAAGGTTTGCATCCCAAATTTGTATTGTTGCTTAATGACCAGATAATAAATCGTGTAATAGCAGTTAATTGAAACAAATTCTTCCATTAAGTAGTTTGGTGAATTTTCTGCTCCTAGGTTTTATTCTGTTTATAAATCAAAAGAACAGAAATATCTGCAGTATCTGGCTGCTGTATATATACATATATTCCTTTCCCCCGCATCCTTTTCAGCCTATCACAAACATTCACCTTCCTCCAAAATGCAGAGCAGAAATCATGCTCCTCATCAGCATTCCTCATGGTTAGGTCCAAATTATCTTTAAATCTGTTTCGGTTTCTCCCCTGACCCCTCTGCCTTGATTCCTGCTAGGATCCTGCTCACCACTTCCTGCAGTGGGATCCCTGTACCCCAAGTATTCCCAGCTCCCACAGGTGTCAGCAGGACTTTCAGCCCTGCAAAAGCAGGACCTTTGCTCATGTCTTCTACTTTACCTCGAAATGGCCCTTCACCCAAGCTGGTGTGACCCACCTGCGTTGTCATCCTTCCTGAAAACAAAGCTTCTGAATCCCACTCTGCTCCTGCTACCCTGTTGTGCAAAGTGACGCTACTGAAAAAACCAGAGAATTAGCAAGGATGGAATTAAGCTGCATCATTCATTTGCACTGCTTTTCATTACTGCCCTTTAAAAGTTAGGTCACACTCTTATCCTGGGAAGATTCATACATTATGTGTGTTTTTATAGAGAGTCAAGAGCGTGAGTATGATTTCCCTAGGGACATAGGCTTACTGTCAATAATACTCTTCAAATACTACAGACAGAGTCAGATTTCTTTCCTAAAAATGGATCTAATTGCCCTTTAAAAATCATAAGTGTGATGAAGTCTTTTGTCAAAATAAGAGTGGATGATTAAATAATTGGCATCAAAAAAGATCGTGAAGCTCTTTTTGGTAGCAGAAAAGAAGTTGTCTTTCTGTGATTTTCTGCTCTTTCTGGTCCAGGTAGAGCCAGAAGGGAAAATGCAAAACCACTATGAAGTTACTTTCTCTTTACAGTTATGATTCAGTATTGAAGAGTGATGAAATTCAGGTACTGTTGGAGAGCCTATGATAAGCCTAAGACTTTCACTGCTTGGAAGACTAACGTTTGGAATTTTTTGACAAGATGATTTACGTGACGTTAGCATTTGTAAAACGTTTTCCAAAACTTTGAATGTGCCACATTTTAGCTATTTGAACCATATACGTACGCCTGGGGCTTGAGCAAGTGGAAATTCTTGTGAATAAAACAAGATCAGTTGAAAAATGCAGTCAGAAAAGAGTGAGAATGGACATAATTCTTAACATACTTGTCTTACAGATGACAAAGATAATTTTGAAGCAGATGGAGTCAAGGTAAAAATCATTCTTTCTTGAACTTTCGGTAGCTTTTAGCGGCTCCCTCCAGTTTACTCAGTGGCAGCTACACTTTTCTGTGATTAATTTCTGCGCTTTACAGTATGTCAGTCGGTAAGATTCATCGCGCTGCTGTTAGTGCTGTGTGAGGGAATGAGAGGAACTGCTACAGGTTGTCAGTCAACTGTGGAACAGGACAGAAAATATAAAACACAGGTCTCTGCCCAGTAAAAATACGCAGGTCTTGCATAAAGAAAATGACACGTGATGGGTCTGATTAGTCGAGAAGTGGCATTTGAATATATGGATGTATTCTTCTAAGAGTGGTAGCTGTGCTTGGAGTAATACGATTCAAGCTCTGGAAATACCTGTACTACATCAAAGAGATTAATTGAGCTATTCAATTAAGGATCCCTTTTCTCCTGTTGACACAATGTGTATTTTAGACATGAGGGTCCTTAAACCAGAAGTCAAGGTCTTTGGACTGAGTTTCTAGAAAACATTGTTAACTACTGCATTTCGGAGCCTAGTGCATGCTTTTTGTTTTGGCAACAAAATAAGCTCTTACCGTTAAATTGTGTTGTTTGTGGGTTGGTTTTCTTTTTTTCCCCGAATGAATTGGTTTTAGTAGTTTGTAGAGGGACTTGTGAATAGGGAGGCTAAAACAACAGGTGCATGGAGCAAGAAAAAGAATGTGCTGGCTAATGAGCAAAGGGAACCTACCCATCACTTAGCAGCATAAAATCTTTCCTCTGATGACGTATTTTGGTCTGTTAGATGTACAGTAGCACGTACAATGTTCCCATGGTTGTGATTGCACTAGGCATTTAAATTTCACTTATGACACTGTTCCTAGCTGGTTTAGATTTAATTGCACCTAACTAAGCCATAAAAGTTAGGGCTTTTGAAAGTGTAGTCTGCAGTAAAATAGGAGAGCTATGCCTTCTGGGAGGGGAAATTGTTTTCCACTTGCACAGGCTTTTACTGTAATACTGTCAAATGTAAACTGAATTTAACTATTTAAATTTCAGACAGAAGGGTCTTATTCTGAATCTGTCCTCTGGTTTGGGTACTTTCCCTTGTCCATTATACACAATGTACTCAGCTTCTAAGGTAAGTCTTTTACATTGTTTTATAGAGAAAACCCCATAAGGTGTTTACCAAAGCATTTCTATCAGCAGCGACAGGTTTTCAGGACTTAAACCAGTGTTGCTACACTGAAATCATGAAGTAATGTAAGTGAGCAGTAGCTGAGAACTAAGAATCAGTGAAGTTATGTAAATGAAGTCCAGCTGAAGGTATGCCTGATGGCTGGAACATTTTTGCCTTTGACTGAGTAGTATTATACCAGTGCTGACAATCTGTCATTGCTCTGGGGAGGGATGATTTTTACCATGCTGGCTTAGCTAGTTTACTCAAAACCGTAGATGCACAAAAGTGCTAGGTTTTGCTTATGGAACCAAGAATAGAATTCCCAGTGGTGAGCTGCCTAATTTCATAGATTTCTCTTTGAAATTTTGCTCTGAATTAAAACCCGAGGGCTTATAAGAGTGAGGAGTGAATGAATTTTACTGAAACTGCAGAAGCAACGTGCTCAGCTCAGGTTTGTTTCAAATGAAAAATTCTAATGATATTTGTTTGAACATAGCTAAAGTTCAGCTTGGTAAAAAAGCGCTAGTTATTCTTGTTAAGAAAGTCTAGTTTTCTATTTCCTCTTCCTTTTTTTGACATAAGTTTCTCATTACTCAAAACTTGAACTACACTTAAACCAGAAAATTCTATTTCCTTAAAAACATTTAGTTAAACATTATTTCAAAGTGATATGGTATATCGGTTGTGTTATTTTGACTTTTTTCATTCTTGGGTGTCTTTTACATTTGTTTCTTTTTAAATGGACTTTTTCTCCCAATGCACTGAAAGGAATCTATTTTACTTGTCAGAGTATTGATGTTTCATGCAATACCACGAGACTGTTGCCGTTTAGATTGTAAGAACTGTCACATGGTGGCTTTGAAACACTCTTGGTTTCGCTCCTTAGTAGGACTTTTGTATTTCTAAGTACAGAGGGACAATCCAATATTGTCTAGTTTATGAATAATCCTCAAAGATCTAACTCATAAAATCAGTCTTAAAAGACTCTCAACTTTTACACAAAGAAGTCAGTATCTGTGTACTCTTCATTGTGTGAAGAAAAACAGGGAAAGGTTAACCGTAAAGGTTGGAGCTTCACAACCCCCTAAATTCCCAAATACCTGATTTTGAAAATCATGTTTGTAGGCTATGCTAACAGATACACACTGAAGGCATGTGTTGTATTTTGCTTCCCTTTTTATTGCAAGAAAGCAGCAGCATAGGCATTGAGCTGGGAGGGTAGGTGTCAGCCAGAGATGAGAGCCACGTGAAACAACAGCTAGAATAAATGGGACTCAGGTATTTATACCTCTGCATTTTCATAAATGTGACAAAGCTTCCAGTCCGGTCTGCAGTAGTACTTGTTTCCTGTCTGGCTTGGGCCAATGCCAGGCGCAGATAAAGCCTTGCCATTGCTCATGTGCACTAGTGTCTTGAAGAGTTCATTTCTGCATTTTTCACTACTTCACTGTGCCTTAGGTTGTAGGACGCTTGGCCATTTTTTTTAAGGACCTGTTCGCATGGATCTGTGAGCATATGTGAAAGTACTTAGTTTCCTATGCTAATGCTATCTTGTTTTATTTTATTCTAGGCTTTTATAAGCACTTTCTCCAAAGCACTACAAGCAGAGTATAAGGCCAAGGGAATTATCATACAGGTGATGCTACGTTTTGTCTTATTTGCCTTTGTTTTAATGAATTCTTCAAGAATATCTGAGATGCCTAAATATGTATAGTGTAACACTCCTTGGTGAAGTGCTGGGTGACCCTGTCAAAGCTCTGTCTCCTCCCTGTGTGCAGCTTTTTTACTTGCTCCCCCGTGGTACCATTACTTAGTCTACATAATGTCTTAATCCATTGCAAATATCTGTTGCAATTTGTCGTATGTTGAGGGATTCTGCAAAATGAATGGCTTTATATAAATGTTAGATGACATTACACTGTTATTATGATTTTTTATTTTAGGTCGTGGCTCCTTATGGTGTTTCTACTCCAATGACAATGCACCAAAAACCTGGTCTTATTACAAAGAGGGCAGAAGAGTTTGTTAGTGAGTCACTGGATTATGTCACCTTTGGAGATGAGATTTTTGGATGTTTAGCCCATGAAATGCTGGTAATTGAATTTGAGTGTGTAAGTGGGTCCCAAGGGTTGAACCAAGGCTATCTGGCCTCATAAGGTTGTTTTGACTGATTTCAGAGACCTTAAGGTTGGACATAAATTGAGAAACACTGAATAGGTTGTTAAGGCTGTGCCATACCGGCCCCAGTAAACTATGAATGAATGAATACACAAATAAAGCATAGTGATATCAGCACAGTGTGTCTTTCTCCACTTTTGTGTCCTGAGCTGAGCTCAGTTTGATATCTGGTGAGTCTTCAACCTTTCTCTGACTGCCTCTTTTCATAGAATCATAGAATG